TCACCGGACCGTCCGAGATGAATTTCTTGTTTCGATTTTGTGTTTTTGGGTTTGAATTCCCCAAATTGATTTGGGGTTTGTGTTCCTTCTCCCCCCTCGCCTTGTTTCTTATAATGATTGTGAGGAAAATCTCACACGATTGATCATATTGTTTGATTTCCAATTCGATGGATACCCATCAGATCCGAAATCTGGAAATTGCATGTTCCTTGAGATTTAGTCCCTGCTTTCCAGATTTCATTCAATTAAATCCCTAAAGTTTCTGATTTATTTTGATTTGATCCCCCAAATCTTGATATTTTTTTTGATTGAATTCCTAAAGTTTCTAATTTGTTCGATTTAGTCCTCTAGTTAGTAATTTACATAATTACCCCTAATTTAGGGGTATTACAGTTTTACCCTTTTAAATAAATTCGGTCCCCAAATTTTAAAATACAAGAGTAACAACTAACCTTGTGTCCCAAATAAGTGAGTGTACTTAGCACGCATCGCCTCCTCTGGTTCCCACGTTGCTTCCTCCTTAGTGTGATGTTTCCATAGTACTTTCACAAATACTATTTCCTTGGACCTTAGCTTCCTAGTCTATCGATCGATGATAGCCACGGGCTGTTCTTCATAAGACAAATCTGATCCTAGCTCTACTTCCTGTGGTGTCAAAATATGGGAAGGATCTGACAAGTATTTCCGTAGCATAGACACGTGGAACACTGGATGCACTATGGAAAACTCAGGTGGAAGAGCCAATCGATAAACTACTGCTCCGACACGGTCTAAAATCTCAAATGGGCCAATATAACGCGGACTAAGTTTCCCTTTCTTTCCAAAGTGCATAACACATTTCATCGGGATATCCGTAGAAATACATGCTCCCCAGTTGAGAACTCCAACTCTCATCAGCGCTGATCTACATAAGCCTTCTGCCGACTCTGAGCGGAGAGTAACCTTTGTCTAATCAGCTGTACTTTATCCATAGCATCCTGTACTAAATCTGGCCCTAACAGCTTAGCTTCTCCTTCCTCAAAGCATCCAATCGGGGATCTGCAACGTCGACCATATAATGCCTCGAAATGATCCATCTGAATACTTGACTGGTAACTATTATTATAAGCAAACTCTATTAATGGCAAATACTGGCTCCAGTTACCATCGAAATCTAGGACGCATGCTCGCAACATATCCTCTAAGATCTGAAGACACACAGTCAGCTGGTAATGGCAATAATGCCCAGGTAACAAAATGACAACATATGCCCTGATAACTGAATGGCAACATATGCCCTCATAATTGAATGGCAACACATGCCCTGAAAACTGAATGGCAACATATGCCCTGAATAACTGAATGGCAACATATGCCCTGAAAACTGGAATTGCAACATATGCCCTGAATAACTGAAATGTCTAGCACTATTCCCCTGCTAGATGGGGACCCGTACAGGGTGCAAATTGTGCTAACGTATACTGCCGTCAGCTGCAGTGTTCAAAAATCCGAAACTCCCTCAAAATATTATTTTCCAAAATTAACAAAACAGTTTAACCGAATATTTCCATTTACTGATATAAAACTAAATCAAAAATAAATAACAGACAAGTTTTCAAAACAAATTCAGAAATTACATGCATGTCCTTCATCATATAATTTAACAAAATTTTAAATCAGACTTTCAGAAAAACAAGTATATAATAGAATCAGACTTTTCAGAAAACAGTTATATAATAAAAACATATTTATTTCAAATATGGAAAGCAAAATGGCTCATAAATACACATTATTACTCACCGAACGACGAAATCGGAAAATCCAACACTGGACGACACAGCTCAACCAGGATCGTGCGATCAATCTAAATCAGGAAATAATAGTATAGCTAAATTTATATTTCTATAATAATGATTTAAATTTTAAAAAGAATAAACAAATACCTAGGTTTTTTCGTTCCCGAGCCCATTACTATGATCATTTAAGTCCCGAACCATTAAATACTAAGTATCGACGTCATAAACCCTTCTTTAAAATATCAAAACCAGTATGTTCAAACCTCCAAAAATCATTAAATGAAGTGAACCGACCATTAAAGGAATGAACCGGCTATGAACCGAGCGTTCGGAGGCTAAACCAGTCATAAACCGAACCTTAAACCACTAAACCAGTCATGTTTTAATTTTCAATACATTTAATTTACTTGGAACTGGTTTAAAAGTACTGAACCGGCCCTTAGAGTGTTGAACCGGCCTCAAAACTAATTTATTTTTAATGAACCAAAATTTAAATAATTATCTTAATTATTTATTTATTTTATTATGCCCTAAACCGAAGATAAACTAGCCAATAAACATGTGAACCGGCCTGGTTTGTATTGAACCGGCCAATTCTCTATATATTTTAATTTAAAAAAAAACCTTGAACCAGGCTTAAATTGAACCCAAAACCAGTGATCCGAAATTTAGATATTTAGATAATTAAATTACTTAATTTATCTACCCTTGAACCGGTGGAAAACCGATCAGTTCCTTGGTGAACCGGCCTCCTTTTAATTACTATTAATATATTTATTATTATATTTATATTTTTTTTCGGGATTTAGCCCAACCCGTGTGGCCTGTTTTTTTAAAACAAAAAAGAACTTAAACCCTTGGCCCAACTGAAGCAGCCCAATGCCTCAGGCCCATTCCAACTACGGCCCAAATCAAAGGCCCAAAACCCATAACTCGCTGCAGACTCGTGGATATTAGATCCGGTTACCACAACCGAATCTAACAGAAACCAGACTGAAATTTCCTAATAAAAAATCAGAGTTTTGAATGAAGACTTACGGATTAAATGTTGCAGACTGGTTCATCCTTGCTCGGCGAGCTCTAATGATCACAATCCCCCTGCGATTGGGACGAACCACTGAGAGATTTTCTAGAATCCTCCGTCGTCCACTGAACCGTCCGAGATGAATTTCTTGTTTCGATTTTGTGTTTTTGGGTTCGAATTTCCCCAAATTGATTTGGGGTTTGTGTTCCTTCTCCCCCCTCGCCTTGTTTCTTATAATGATTGTGAGGAAAATCTCACACGATTGATCATATTGTTTGATTTCCAATTCGATGGATATCCGTCAGATCCGAAATCTGGAAATTGTATGTTCCTTGAGATTTAGTCCCTACTTTCCAGATTTCGTTCAATTAAATCCCTGAAATTTCTGATTTATTTTGATTTGATCCCCCAAATCTTGATATTTTTTTTGATTTAATTCCTAAAGTTTCTAATTTGTTCGATTTAGTCCTCTAGTTAATAATTTACATAAATACCCCTAATTTAGGGGTATTACAAAAATAGTTATCAAATTTTATTATTAAAGATTTTGACATTTGAAACTAATTGTATTATGATGTTCAATTACTTTTCATGTATGTTATTAGTCAATTATAATTGAAATGATAGATATGCATTACATGAATTACAATATATTATAGAAATTGAAACTATATATATATATATATATATTACAACAATTATAACACTAGTTACCCCTAATATGGGTTACAAGGAGGTCACAAAATTAGTGATCTAATTATGAACCTGCACACAATTTGAATAATAAGATTAATGGGGTTACTAATTAGTGACCGATTAGTGACAAAAAATGATAGTCACTAATTACTTACCGCATATAGAGTCACTAAATATATATCTAATTTGTTTAAAAAAAATGTCACTAAATAATTAATAACCGAAATTATTCGGTCACAAATTACTAGCCGCTTGCTTTTTATCACTAATTAGTGACCAACTATGTTCGGTCATAATTAGTGACGAAAGACTATGGTCACTATTTAGTTACTGAAATGCTAGTGGTCACTAAATAGTGACCGACTTACTATGTAATGAAATAATGAATTACTGACCCAATTAGTGACCAATTATAGCAGTTACTAAATTGATTAGTGATGAGACTTTTTCTAATCGATCAGATCAGTCACAAATACGGTCACTGATTACTTTAGTAACTGTTGCTCTTAGAATTTAGTGACCGGTGATGCGGTTACTAAATTCTTTTTTTTTTTTGGTAATGGATAAATTATACAATAAAGAGTAGTATTTTTAGTGAAATGGCTATTTTTGACCTTTTTTAACTAAATTAAATGAAAGCAAATTCCAACCATTATTTTTATTTAAAACAAATGCGAGACATGCATTTAAGCTGAGTGGAAATAGATGGATAAAGATTTAGATGCAAGCACAATGAAACATAATAAGTTTTAGTTCAATTCTCGTATTACGAGACAATTTTGTACAATCTAACTAAAATAGGGAGAGCAATTGCAACTCTTTTTTCAAGTATGTTATACATAAACTTTTAACAGTAATGAGTAAAAATTTAAAATTTAAATATTTTAAGTTAATATTTTAAACTCAACAAATTATCAACAATAATCACTTAACGCCAAGTTATTTATTATTTTGATCATGCTCAAAATCACATGCAAAACCCGATTTAGATCATAAAATGTGCAACTTTTCTGTCCATCACATCGTCTACCTTTCATATGACTCAAAGTTTAAGGTCTTGGTTTCTCACTATGAATTCGCAGCTTACCCAGTCAACAGCTTAAGAATGATGAATTCTGAGCCATTTCAACATGACGAAGTCGTTTTTCCATTTATTATAACTTAAAATAAAAGGTGATAACTACACAATTAATATAATACTGAATTACTTATTCTGCAGACCGTTTGAGCAAACAAAAACAAATTCCAGGAATAATTAATTTATCATACTATTGTCATTATTAGGAATTGAAAATAGTTTAGACTTCCTGATTATATTCAGCCCATCATATTTATACCAATCTATACTGCATAATCAATCGTCCTCAACATCCTAGGCAGCCGCCCCCCTCTTGTCTTCACCCAAAGATTTCTCCGTTGTCTATATCAAAGCTATCCTTATTACTGGTTTGTCGTCGTCTTTCCTCGTCATCTCTGGCTAGTCCTTCTTTAGTTTCCTCTCGAAGATGTTTGCTAGATGTTTCTCCTGCTTCTTTCCAGACCTACCAGAGATCAGGTACCTTTTGTTAAGCTGATTTAATTCGTCTTGTATAATTTCCAAGAAAGAAAAACTAACTATGTCTAATCTTCTTCTTATTATTATTTTTAAAGGGCAAATAAGGGTCGGGACTATCCATGGGAAATTTACACCCTCAAGGAGATTCTTCACGCGACAAACAACTTCCACGACGAAAATAAGATTGGTGAAGGAGGATATGGGAGTGTTTACTGGGTCAAGCAAGTAAAGGCATCGGGGCAAGTTCTCCTGCTTTGTTCTTGTCATTATAAATTACTTCCAAAAGAAGAAATTATCAACATATTGTAGGTTCATACACGTGTATTGAATAAGATTGGGTGGCATCTTTGATCGTGCAGATAGCAGTGAAAAGGCTAAAAGCCATGACAGCAAAGGCAGAAATGGACTTCGCGGTGGAAGTGGAGGTACTTGGTAGGGCAAGGCATAAGAATTTACTGGGGCTGAGAGGGTTCTACGCCGGCGGAGATGAAAGGCTTATAGTCTACGACTACATGCCAAATCATAGTCTAAGCGTTCATCTCCATGGTCAACAGGACGATGATTGTCTGTTAGACTGGCCCAGAAGAATGAGAATAGCCGCTGGATCAGCCGACGGATTAGCGTAAGTGTTACAATACTTAGAACTGATTTATGGCTCTTTCTTCCTTTCAAAAGTAAACTCGGCTGATGTTGAACTCCTGCCCCTACCCTCATTTTTTCTCATGTTTTTCTTCTCAAGTTTAATCCAACGTTAGCAACATGTTGATGAACCTGACCATCCTACTGTATTTCTATGGTACAGGTACTTGCACCATGAGGCAAACCCTCACATAATACACAGGGATATAAAGGCAAGCAACGTTCTCTTGGATTCAGAACTCAGACCGAAAGTAGCTGATTTTGGATTTGCAAGGCTAATCCCAGAAGGGGTAAGCTGCTTTACCACGAGGGTGAGAGGAACGTTGGGGTATTTAGCACCTGAGTATGCCATGTGGGGAAAGGTGTCTAAGAAATGTGATGTGTACAGCTTTGGAATATTACTGCTAGAGATAATCAGTGCTAAAAGGCCTATAGAGAAGCTGCCCGGGAAGGTTAAACAAGATATCGTGCACTGGGCCACTCCTTACGTGCAAAAAGGTGCCTTTGACTGTATCGTTGATCCAAGGCTAAAAGGTCAGTATGATCAAAAACAACTGGAAACAACTGTCTTGATTGCCATGAGATGCGCGGATGCTTGTCCAGATAAGAGGCCCAGCATGATGGAGGTGGCGGATTGGCTGAAGGGAGGCACGGCCAGGAGGAAGAAGGAGGTTCAACTATTGCAAGATAAGATTGAGGAAGATGAACAAGAAGAGCGAAGCTATGGTAAGGAGTATGAAGGATAAGGAATGGAAGAGATTGCAATAATTAGAATGGGTCAACATGAGCCAAGAAGAAGATGAATGCTGGCTGCCTTCTGTTGCATACCTTTATTTATTCCTTCTTTAGTCATTTGGATTTATCCTTCATCTGGCTGTTTGCAATTTGTATCTTAGCGAAGCAATCTTAGTGGGTTTTGGACACGTTATTCCTTCTCATTTTATCAGTCATGTGATGGATTTTTCCGTATAATTTTTGGGAGGCCAAATTTTGTGAATGGTGGTAAGCAATTATCCTTTATTTGTACAACCCATAATCAGATAATTCATGAACACTTTACTGAATTAAAAAAATGAAGGGTCTGGCTGATAGAAGAAACAAAATCAGCAGTCAAATAGAAAGAATTACAAAAACAAAAAATATTTAAAAAAAAATGGTTGACTCTCTAAAGAAATACTAGTCCTAAAAAATGAAGACCCATTGGGCCGAGAACGTCGAGTAACTGGTCCACCTATCACATGCAGGCGCTAGTTACTCTTCTTAGGCCCATGGCCACCTGATTCATGAAGCAGTCAGAAACACATGATTTTAGCCTAGTTTTTAGTTTCAAAATAGTTTTAATTATCTCAAAAAAAAATCAAGTTACGGATTAATATTGTATATATCCTCTTACATGTTTCCCATACTTTATATTAAATGTTTTAAATATATAACAACTAACAAGTGTTAATTGAATTAATAAATAACTTCTACTTCGACAAAAATGAGAACATAAATTTATTTCCTAAAAACATACTTATTAAAAAGATATTTAACATTTTACGCCCTTAACTAGAAAAGAACTTGCCTCATATGTCAATTGCCCTGAGATACCCTTACTTATATAAATATATATATATATATATATATAAAATATGTATACAATTTTAGATAATGATAACCCACGAGGACAAAACAAGAAACTGCCACCAGAAAATTTCTTGATTAAAACATATATAAGATCTAAATAATAGACAATGTGATCAGAATAATTTTACATTATTGGCCCCTACAATGATTTTGAAAAAGTCATGCATATAAGAGTGGGGATGATATGACCGGTGGTTGATAAATTAGGTATCGGACCCTAAACAGGAAAGAAAATATATATGGGTGGTTAATGAGAAAATTTATAACAACAAGAAGATAAAAATTTTAACAATTTCTTTGAAAAAAACTCGTATGAGGTTAGGTGATGATTGCTGCAATAAAATCATGTGGTTCTCCATTTTTTATTTCTAATTTTTCTAAGACTCCCAAGATTGTAATTTCAAGATTGTAATTTCATTCAAGTAATCAATTTTTTACGAATTTTTAATTTGGACATCAACAATTAAACATAGATGTTCTTAGATTGTTTGCTAATGCTTTTATAAAGTCAAAATAAAATTAGGTATGTTTAAAAATATGCTAAAAATTCTCAGAATTAATAAAGTAGGTACTTAAAATATAAATTGCGTAACTTAGTTTTGGAAAAACAATTGCTTCAAAATTACAAAGGTGCCCTTACTTCCATGCCCTTTCGTCACAGACCTCTTGATGTATCCTTGTCCCCGCCAAAGAAAACCGATGACTGTAAGGGTAGCCTGAAAACCTACGGCGGACAGCCAGAGAAGTGTCTCCCCACTGCAGATTCAACTAAAATTTTGGCAAGCCGAAGTATTGCCGATCGAAAAGGGAAAAACTTGAAATGGCAAGCCGAAGCATTGCCGATCGAAGAGCAAAGAAGGAGCAAATCCTCGTGATTTTAGCTGAAGGAAGAAACTTAGAGGCCGACATGCTCCAATGGAAAAGCAGAGATGGAGCAGATCCCCATGATTTCAGCTAAATGGAGAAACCTAGAGGCCGATGTACTCCGATCGAAAAGCAAAGAAAGAGTATATCTGTCAATAAAAGACCGAACAAATTGGATGACCAAAAGAAAGAGCCAAAATCCAGTCACTACTCGAAATGCAGATCTGACCAAAGTCTAGTCGCAGCCCATCACTTTCTTCTCTAGCTTAAGAGAAACCAACGACGAAGCAAGAAGTTCTGGCCATGGGGGTGATCGACCTCTTACCTTCTTGTCAATTAGCCACTCCTCTTTTCGCCATGATCGACAGAGGCAAACTGGCCCCAACTTCTAAAGCAACAACGCTACAGATGAGAGGAGATGGGAATTTCGGAATATTGAAAAAATGTACAAGGGCAAAGGCGTCAAATGCATCCTTAAAATAACTTCAATTTCTTTACAGAAAAAGCCATTAAAAGTTGAAGCACACCCTCCCCTGTTATTGATTTTTTATTATTTAGACCTTGTTTTTAAAAAAATTAAAGTCAAAATTACATTTACAAACAACCTTTCAAATATTTTTCATCAAAAAGTACAAAGCACTTCTTTAAAAATTCATGCGAAGAGCCTCTTAGTGTCTTTTCATCATTACAGAAATTTAAATTTATGAATTAAATTAATCTAGTAGACGAACAGATGTACAGCATCATGAAAAATTGATAAAGTTCATGTATTCGTCATTTGAAGTACAACAATAAAATCCTCTTAAAAAAACATTAGAAAAATTACAAACCCATCACTGTCACCTTTCTGAGAACGACGGAATCTCCAATTATTAATCAATGGCGACCATCTATGTATAATGGTGATATGAGTGGAGAAATCTCAACCACCGCTTTCAATTTAGATTGGACCCAGAGGCTTTTAACGGAGGCAGGGCATGATTCTGTTTGCATGTTCCTCCCATTCAATTTTTCCAGATTACAGCATGTACGTCACATAAACTCTATTGCAATTACGTCCAGCTCTCCTTACCTACTTTATTTGCAGTGTATTAATTCTATCTTTTAAGGTGTCATTTAAGAGTAATTCTATCTTTTAAGGCATGATTTAAGACTTATTGATTCTAATAATTTATTAAATTTAAGTTATTATTTTAAAATATTTAAATTTAAATTGTTTAGTAATAATTTTATAATTTAATACACAAAATTATATTACACTTAAAATCGATATAAAATAAAATATTACAATATCCTCTATTTAAATATTTAACTCTTTCGTCAAATTACAAAATCTTAATAATTTGTTAAATTTATCTAAAATATTTAAATCTAAATTATTTAATAGTAATCTCTAGAATTTTAACACAGCATTGTATCATTTTCACAAATTGATGTATGACAAAATATAACAATATGTTTTGTTTTCAATTTTTTAGAAGTTGGATATGGAAATGCTTCTTTCATATGGCACTTCTAACAATAACAAAAAACAGCAATTACAGGATCCAAAGGATTTATTTTAAGAAGTCACAATATTCAATCAAGACATTAAAAAATACACATATCTAAATGATTATTTTCCATAAAACAGAGGCTAGGAAATGGTTAACAAATCAAAGAGAGAGGGTAATGGAATCTATAAATTGCAATTTGAGAACTTGTTGGGAAGGTTTAAGAAATTAAATTAAAGTTCAAATTACAATGACTCAAATGGATAATCAGAGGGGGAGAAAAGGTTACAGCTTTCATAAAAGATTGCACGTGGTCATGCTTTATATACATACTTTTCAAAATTTTCTATTTAGTAGTACGCTCACAAATTCATTAGACTTATTGTTTGCATAAGTACCGATGTATCCTAAATTTGGATGTCTTTTCCATTTTGTTCTCTCATCTTTTAAATATTAATAATTATGCTCTATTCTATGGGATAAATTTTTTTGGCTAAGTTTTGGTCTTTAATTTTACAATCTTTGCGGCATTAGAGACTCTTACACCCTTAACTTTCAACTATTAGAGCAGTGCTCTGTTAACTAATTATAAAATACTCTTAACCTTATTGATGTGATAAATATAAATGTATTTTCAGTTTTTGCTATCTTCATCTTTTTTAACAAATAAGTTTCATACATGGATTAAAACTCTTAAATCACATTGTGGTTATGGAACTACATCATGTATAAAATGATAATCACGAAATATGTCTTTATAGCTATGATCTTAAAATTATTTTAAGTCATATAATCGGTCAAAATAGTGTATTAACTTAAGATTTAGATAAACTCATAAAAGTAATTTGCGAAAGCAAATTGAAAGTATCTCATTTCACGAGTAACCAGTATTATAAATACCAATTCATACTAGTAGATGTTTTGTGAATACCGCGTTCACAGAATAATCGACCAGAGATTACTATAGATTTTGTTCATGTCAGTTGGTAATTCTCTATCTAAAACTTGAAGTTCCATGGTAACCTTATGCATAGACTCTCATACTTTGATATATCTCCTCCTTGCTATCCCAATATTGGATGGTCACAAATCGAGTTAGACTGGGCATAAGCTACTTGCATATGAAGATCTATGAAAATCAATATAGAATCTATTACTCATCTAGTTGAATGAGATATCTCTTATATTTTCTACATTGATGGGTTGAACCAAGATTTTATGCAGGACAGATGACAAATAAGAAAATGATTTTTTTAATTTAATCATTCAATCAATTCATTTGAAATAAATACATAAATATTGGGATTATACTAATATCAACAATAAATCTTAAACCTAAATCTCAATTATAAGATAGTTGATGGAGGAATTGTATTTGTATGGAACACATGAATAAAAGCATAAATTATTATGTATTAAACCATTCTAGAATCTCAAGTTTATGAAATAATTAATGCACTACTATAAATATAGAGAATAATCATAAATAATAGAAGTAATCCAATTGCTAATCTCACAACGGGATTATTCAGTGAACTTGTTCCTCTATTGAGCACTCACTGAGTGTGTATTGGTGTTTATAACACCAATCTCCTATGAAACAAAACAAGTTGGTATTTGCTAACTGCTACTTTAGTTGATCAATAACTGAGCTACATTGCTATTTGTTCATTCAAGTTATATTTGTATTTGGTATTAAATTGGTATTTGATGTCATATGTGGTTCCTTTAATGAAATGGTTTATTTCAGGGTATTGATT